GTAATGATGAAGGCATTTTTCGGCAACAGAAGCAAAATGCAAACCCCAGACTCTTGAGATACACTGAAAGCCGAGGACAGGAGATCCATCACGGGGAATGGGTTTCAGGAAGGACGTAGCTAGGACTGTGTGCATGCATGTGTGCACAAGGGGCGTGAGGATCTTCTCTGCAGCAAGATATTAGAAGTCAAGGTTTGAAGAGGGCCCTGATGCTTCGTAGCAAGTTGCTCTGCCTCCCTGGGCGTCAGTTTCCTTGTCTGTACCCATAAGAAAGATATCTTGTAGAGCCGTCGGGAGGTTTGAATGAGCTAAAAGAGGTCAGGCCTGTGTACAGTACTTGGCTCACAGGAGGTGGGAATGGGTGCTCACCTTGATTCCTGTCGGTCTGCATATCCTGCGGGGGCAGGCACTGAGTGTGGAAGGCCTGGGCTGGGGACACATTCCCGTGTGAAGCAGGATGGCAGAGGGTCCTGGCTGGACCACCGAGCCTCCATCCTAGCTCTGCTACAGAGAGACCCTGGGCACGCCACTTCTCGCAATGCCTCAGTTTCTTCACTTGCAAAATGGGGATAGTGGTGGCATCTACTTCCTAGGATTAGCAAAAGGCAGTGGTTCTCTAAGTGTGGTTCCCCAGATCATTAGCACCATCTGCTAACTTGTTAGGAATGCAAAAGTGTGGGTCCCGCCCAAGGAATCAGACACTCCTGGGGCCTGGCACAGCCATCTGTGTTGCCAGAGGCCTCCAGGTGATGCTGACAGCCACTCCCAGTTGGAGACCCGTTGTGAAGGTGAAGCACTTGAAAAGGCACCTGCCACATAGCCTGCCGTGTCTGCTTTTTTGTGCCTGGGCTTTGCAACAGCAGCTGCTTTAAAAAAAAAATTTTTGTTTTGACACCCTTCACCTCTTTTTCTAGCTTCTCTTTCCTTTTCAGCCTTAACCTCTCTCCCCCACCCCCATCTCAGCTCTGCACCAGCCTTTCAGGGTGGCCTTTGAGAATCAATCAACCACATCTATAAAAGCCTTTGAGCTTCCTGGAAGAAGTTGCCCCAGAGACAGGAATGCAAAGGGTTATTATTAGAACTTTGTCTTCCTGCCCCCTCCCTTCAATACAGGAGCTTCAAGAACCTGGTAAAGTATCACTCACCTACAGAAGGACAAACAGAGCTGGGAAAAGGCAGTCCCGGGCAACAGACTACAGACAGGTCCCCACAGATCCCCACCCTCGGCTTGCCAATCATCTCCCCCTACATACACAGTTATGCATCCTTATCACTGCACAGTGCAGCCCAGAGCTGGGCACGTGCTCATTCATTCATTCATTCAACCCATAAACTTTTCTTGTTCTCCCACTATGGGGCAGGCCCTAGTCTAGGTTCTGGGGTTAGAACTGAACAAAACAAAGTTGCTGCTCAGCGGACCTGACATCCTAGTGGAGGAGAAAGAAATAGGCAAAAAGTCAAATAGATAAAATCATCTTATGGTAAACTAAACTGAATGAGTGAATGAATGAGTGAAGCAGGCAGCACAGGTCATGTGCTTCGGAGCTCAACAGACCTGACTTCAGATCTTGATCTTTTCTCTTCCTAGCCTAAAGAGTTTATACAAGCCCTTAGCCTGTCTGAGCCTCAGTGTGCACATCTATAAAACAGGAATCCTAATAGTATACGCTTCAGTGATAGCTAGGAAGATTAAATGAGTAAAATGCTAAGCACAGTACCTGGCACATGTTGAGTGCTCAGTGAAGTTAGATGCTACTGCCATCACCATTCAAGGTCACACAGCTGAGCCTACCTAGTGAAGTGGTCCTCTGTGTACAGGTTAATCCACTGGGATATCTGTGAAATCCCAGAGCTGGAATGCACCCCCGCAATTGGCTAGTGATCTGCCCCATGGTTTTACAGATGAGGCACTTTGTGATCACAGCGGGTCTGGGACTTGCCCCAGATCCCACCAGGAGTTGAAGGCATCTTCCAGCTAGTACGTGGGGCTCAGGCCCTGTGGTCTTTAGAGGGAGTGACAGCAAGGCAGCATATCTGAAACAGAATGTCCTGGGACCCCAAAGGTTCTGCTTCCCAACTTGCCGCCTATTGAGCATCCTTGTACCCACCCTTCCTGCATTAGGGGGCTGGAAGTGAGGAAGGGGGCATCTGCATCCTCCCACTTCAGAAGTGTGAGCTGTGGGGCCCCACTGCCTTAGCGTGGTCTGTGCTCATTGTTTACTTTATGTCTTGCCTGTGGGCTCAATGGTGGATGCACAGGTGGGCCTGGACCATGCTGTTGGGTTTGAATCCTGGCTCTGGCCTTCGCTGGCAATGTGACCTTGCACTCCCTCCCTGGGGTGCTCTTTCTACATCTGCACTTAACGTCCTCTGTAATCCCAAGGTCGAATGAGGTAACCGAGTCCAGCCCTAGGGTGGACGCACATGACATCCCCAGCTAATAATTCTTTCCTCTCATTGTTGGCAAAACAATCTTCTTGCCCCTTTCTGAATATACCCTAAACTTTCCAGCCCTGGCTGATGCCAACGCCTTGCCTGGACCCCACTCCCTCTGCCCCTGCAGTCTGCAACATAGCCTCCAAGTCTGCACAAAATGCCTGCTGCCTGCACCTCTGCCTCTGGCTGGCACTATCGCTCATTTGTGTATATGCGTAGAGCTGCAAGCAATGTGCAGACAATAAAAACGACGTTGCATGGCAGGCCACGGTGGCTCATGCCTGTAACCCCAGCACACTGGGAGGCTGAGATGGGTGGATCACTTGAGGTCAGGAGTTTACCAGCCTGGCCAACATGGCAAACTCGCATCTCTACTAAAAATATAAAAATTAGCCTGGCATGGTGGTGTGTGCCTGTAATCCCAGCTACTCAAAGGCTGAGGCAAGAGAATTGCTTGAACCCAGGAGGCAGAGGTTGCAGGAGAGCTGAGATTGCGCCACTGCCTTCTAGCCTGGGAGACAGAGGACTATCTAAAAAAAAAAAAAAGATGGCATTACAGTTGCCATTTATTGAGCATTTACTATGTGCCAGGCACTGCAGGCCACATTCCCATGTTATAATGCCTAGTTTACAGACGAGGAAGCTGGGGCTCAGGGCTAAAGAGCAGCTGCTCAGGGGCACCCAGCCAGGAAACGGGCCTGAATTATTTTTACCTCCTCCATTGCCAGGCACAGAGTTGCTACTTACTCAACATCTGCTGGATTTGTTAAGAGAGTTTAGTTGATGCTTTAAGATCTGAGTGTGGCAGAGAGGGAGGCAGAAGGGGAGGGAGGGAACTGGGCCAGGTCTGGCTTTGGTTTTTCATGTAGGTTGTCTGTGAGCAGCCAGCCATGAAGACCCGGCCCAGGGCTTCTGAGCTATGGCATATTGGCTGCAAATAAAAATGGAAGGCAGGTCTAGAGGCCTGGATCAGGGTTCAGGTGGGAGCCAGGCCTTGGGGTGGAGCTGTCTGAGAAGCAGATTGGTGGGAATGGAGTGTGAGGGACAGTCTGCCAGGCACTAGAAACCCCAGGAGCGGCCAAGCCAATGATGCCTTTCTGATACCCTCTTCTCCACTCCTTTGAAGCCACCTCCCTCCTTCCCAGCCACAAGAAGGGTAGCTGGCATCAGATGGCCAGGGGACCCCCTGCATTTGACCTTGATAGTGATTCTCCATTCTCATTACTGGCAGGAAAGAAACAAGCAAAAAAAGAAATGAACAACAACAACAAAATCCCCGTAACTCACACTTGTACACCTACTTTCATAATCCTTATACCTTTCCCAAAGCAATTTTGTTTTCACAGAAACTTAATTTTCACAACGAGCCCCAATAGGTCTTAGGAGAAGCTCATGCATCCCATTTGCCAGGCAAGGGAACTTAGGTGTGCAGAGGTGATGTATTCAAGGTCACAGCTGGCAAGGGGCAGAGAGGGAGCAGAGCATGGGGGTCTGGGCTTACACTCAGGCAGCAGATGTTTATGAAGCACCTGCTTTGTGTCAGGTATCGGCTAGATACCGGGGCTAGAAGGATGAATGTAACCTATTTCCTAGTTTTAAAAAAAATAGCTAGCAAACACGTATATAGCATTTACTCCATGCCAGGCACTGTTCTAAGCACTTTACATATTAACACATCTAACCCTCATAACCACCCTATAAGAACTCTCATATTTTCAGTTTAGAGATGAGAACACGGAGGCCCAGAGTAGTTATCTAATTGTACAAGTTCACACACTAGAAAGTGGTAGGGCTGGGATTTGAACCCAGAGAGCCTGGAGTCCAGAGGCCAAGCATCTACACACAGTTTTCTCTGAGACTAGCAGAAAAGCCTATCATGGGAGCAAATGGCAGCTTAGCATGCTGCAAAGACTCATTGAGACCCCGCTCCGCCACTGCACCCTAGCCCTCTGCACTAGGCTAAGCACCGTCAATGTCCATTTGCCCACCTGCAAAATGGAGGTAATTCCCACAGAAGTCATAATGCTAAGAGATGGCAATGCAGGTGTGCTCTATGAGTGCCACACGGAGCCTAATGCAGAAGGAAGTGGACAGTGGCCACCGGCCTCTCGCCTGTGCTGAGATCGAAGCTTGCAAAGCAAGGCAGGACCAGGTCTTCCCTGTCCAAATTCCCTGCTGCTTTCTGGCTTACTGTTTTTCCTGGCTCTGCTGTGAGGTTAGAATAGTATACTTGAGTAAAGCCCTAACAGATTTTGGGACTTAGGGTCACAGGACACCAGGACAAGATGCTGAGGAGGACAGGAGTTAGGAATTTCCATCCCTGGAATCTGAGAATATGAGAGGCAGAGGATCCTTGGGGATTAGCCAGCCTTGTTTCCTTGGATTACAGATGGGAGACAGATGCCCAGCGAAGGAGAAACGCTACCCAAGGTCGCAGAGCTTGGATCAGTACTTACGCAAAAGTGCAGGCAGAGCTCAGGAAAAAATCCCAAATCCTCCCACATCCCCTATCCAGCAGGAAAAAAGAGAATCTGTTTCTTTAGGTTTTTACATTAGGATAACACACCAGTTTTTCTTTGCCTGGAGTATGTGGCAGAGCTCTCAGATATAATTGACTGCCTTTTTTCTTCTAATCTTGGGGAATGAGGGACCTCCATACCACCCCTTCCTTGTGACAGACATAGCTTCAAACTTTTTGCATCCAACACCTCAAGATCCACAATATGCCCAGACCCCAGACCACGGCTACCCACCGTCAACCCCAATTTTGCCATCTCCATCTTTGTCTCCAGCAGCCATCAGCATCTTAGTTTCTTTAGCAGACAGGTCTCTGGCATCTGGGGAGAAGCCTTTTAGGATGAACCTGGAGGAGAAAGGAAGAAAGCCGGTGAGGACACTGGATGGAGGGTGGGCTGGTGTCTGCGTGGGGAAAGGGGCGGCTGCACTAGGTAGTCTGGTTGGTGGCTGTGCTGTCATGGGTGAGTATTCAGGGAAGGACAGGCTGTCCTTGGCGAAGGGTTGATCCCACTTCAGGGAGGGCACCTACAGTGGTTAATTTTTTTTTTTTTTTACTCATCAAGCACAGACCTACATTCTATACATTGGTTAATTTATTCAACAAATATCTGCTAACAGCCATTTCTGTGTCAGGCCTACGCTGGAAAGGGGGGTCACAGTGGTGATCTTTGGAAGACACTGGAAAAAATAAGGAGGTCATGGGCTCTGAGAGAGACAACACGGCGTGATGGGCACAGTGAGAAGAAGTGGAGGAGGGTGCTCAAAAGCCGTATTCACCCACCTAGGGCAAGGGGAGGAGTGGGGAGGTGATGCCTGGAGGACAGGGGGAAGACAGCCTCTGCGAGTGTGAGAGAGAGAGAGTGTGTGTGTGTGTGTGTGTGTGTGTGTGTGTGTGTGCGCGCGCGCGCGCATGCGCGCACATAAGTGTGCATGCATGTTGGATGTGAGTGGGTAGAACGTGAAGGTTCTAGACAGAAGGTACCCTTGTGAGATAGTTTTAGGGGACAGACAGGATGGGTGGGCAGGAGCCTGCTTGAAAGGCCTCTTTTTTTTAACACCCACCCCTCTTCTTTTTTTGACAAACTCAAGGCTATCTTGGCCAGAAAGTGACATAAGGCAACCTGGGTCAGTAGACGTGGCTGGGTGGCTGAGGGGATTGTGGCAAGAGATGCTTTTGTGGATAGAGACATACATTTTGTTAGCCACAGCCTTTTCCTTCTCTGCTTTTCTCCAAGGACCCCTGGACCCCTAAAGCTGGTTCTGCATCCCTGGCTTGCCCAGAAATCGCACCAGCCACACTGGTACAGGAAGGCTGGGGTCTACAGGATGGTGGAAAGTGTCTTTTAGACAAATGAAAATCAATGAGATACTTAAGTGAATGCTTTCTGCCCTGCCTGTGGTGTTAGGCAGCAAGAAAGACTGCTCCTTCATTTGTGTTAAATTATTAAGTAGCATCATTCCATTAGCAAAATTAAGTGGCTATAATTTAACCTAGTTAGTTGCACTTTCAGCAGAGGTTTTACTCTTCCGAAGCAGCTGCGCCGGGAAGCCTTCTCCCCTGGCCCCCTGGGTCCGAGCCCTGCCTTCACGCATGGTTACTTTCTGTGAACGGGGCAGAGTGAAAGGCATGTCTGATGGACACTTGCAAGCCAGAGTCCCAGCCCCCACTCCCTCGTGCGCAGCCTCAGGCTGGGCAGCCCCTGCAGGCCTCTGCTTACCCCAGCTCATCCTCCTCGATGAAGCCACTTTTGTCCTTGTCCAGGATGTGAAACACCTTCTTCACGTCGTCCGCACTCTTTTTCTTCAGGCCGACCATTTGGAAGAACTTTTTGTGGTCGAAGGAGTCAGCAGCTGTGTCGGGAAGAGTAGGGTCAAACAAGGACCAAGAAGGGCAGTAGGGAAGGGTAGGAGAATGGGGGACATCGAGGCATTCATTGATGGATTCCCACATGCCAGTCGTGGGGAATGAGAGGTATCCACCTCCATTGGAGGGCTGAGGGAGCCCGGGCAAGGGAGGATGCTCTGTCCAAGGTCACACGGCTGGGAGTGGAAGAGGTGTGTTCACACCCAGACCTCCCTGGCTCTCAAGCCAGCCCCCACACCCTGCCTCCACTGCACACATTGCTGATGATGGGAGTAGCACCTAAGAACCAAAGACTTTTGTTCTTCTGAGAACCTTGCGTCCATGAAGCCTTTTGGGTGCCAGTTGGTTGGGAGTGGGCTGGGAAATTGAAGGTGGCATGAACGTGGTAGCAGGAGGAGGGTTGAACTTCTTTCTTGGCCGCAGACTATGTCACCAGAAAATTGACATAGAAAGGACAAGTTTCTCTCAAGGTCACACAGTGTGAGGAGGAGGGGCAGACCCAGAAGTCCTGGCTCTGCGCAGAAATCCATTTCCGAGGCAGTGGGAAGGGGGTGTTGGGAGGCTCGCAAGAATTACCCAGTTAAGTTTCTTCCCAGATGGGCTTCAGGTGAAGGGGGTGGGTTTCCCAGGACCCTGGGAGAGTGGCTTGTGCACAGGGAAGGATGTGCGAAGCAGAAAGGAATGGTGGTCCTTTTCAGCCTGCAATTTTCTATGTCTTGGGGTCCTCTTTTAGAACACCCGGGGAAGGGTACCAGTTTTGATCATGTACCGTGTGTGTAGGGGGTGGCTGTTGAAGTCATGTTCTCTTCCCCTCAGCACTGGGCTAGAGGCAAGGAAAGTTGCCCTGTCCACCTCCGACACTAGGCTGAGCGACCCAGTTCTAGTACCCCTTCTGCCCAGCTAGGTGACCTTGGGCAAGTGTCTGTCCTCTCCAAGCCAGTTCCCTGATTTCCCCATCTCGGCGACACGGGAGGAGGAAGGCGGGCGTCTAAGCGCTGAAGTCCCGGGCAGCTCGGGCGGCTCAGAGACGTGAGACTGCCAGTCTCCTCCCCAGCCCGCCTAAGGAGGCTGGAGGTTTGAGTCGCTGAGGATGCCCCGTGCAGGATTGGGCAGAGCTGCGCGCCGGCCCCAGAAGGTCACCTCGCCCGCAGGTCCGTTGCTGAACCCCAGTAAGGGAACTAGGACACTCAGGGGGCCCGCAATGGCTACCGCCTGGCGGGAAAAGTCCTGTCCAGAATGAGGGTCCAGGAAAGGGGTCTCTTGGAAAGGAGGATGCGCCCTCTCCACGTGCCTTAAACAGGACGTCTGGAGAGCGCATACAAGGACCCTGGAGGTCTCTCCTCCGACCCTGGTCTGCCTCCTTGGTCCCGGACCCTGAGTCCTCCCAGCATAGCCACCCGGCCCTCGGCACCCTCAAGTTTCTGCTACTTGGGCAGGGCGCCCGCTTCCCCGCCCTCTCCCCGCAGCCAAGTCCCGCCCGGACAGAGTTTAGGAACTACCAAGGACGCCCCCGCCCCGACCCCGTCGGAGCCCAGCGGGAAGCCTGGGCAGGAGCGCGCGGGGCCCCGCGGAGTGCAGGGGCGCAGGCGGTGGACTAGGGGAGAGGGATGGGGAGGGTAGCGCGCTGCTCACCGCTAAAGGCTCCCACCGCCTTCTTGATGTCCTCAGCGTTGAGCAAGTCTGTCATCGACATCCTGCAACTGTTTGAGCGGGCAGAGCAAGTGCGAAAAGATTAAAAAGTGCTTTTCTCATCATTTCTGCTCATATGACCAGCGCTGCAGTGCTGCGCACCGGGCGCACGCCCGCCGGGCCTGGCATGGTGCCAGGGGCCCGGGCTCTGAGCGCAGCGGGAGAGGCTTAGTACAGCCTCGCGACTGAGCAGTGCCGGCCGCGGGCAGGAAGGCGCGCGGACCTGCTCGGGCTCCTGCACCGCCAGGCCAGGGGTCCTCGGGATCCCAGGGGCTGCGGCCAGGACACGAGGGGAGGGGGCCATCTCTGGGACTTAGGGGGCACCGGCATCACCAGCGGAGTCTGGAAGTCCACCTGCCGTCAAGGGCACGCAGGAAGTGCGGGATCTTCGATTTTGGCACCTCAGAGGTTGTTCTGCCGCCTGGGGGAAGATCTTGAACCCTCAGGGGCCAGCCTGCACCCCGGGACCCCTAGACTCTGCTCCCTTTCTCTCTCCACTCCTACCTCAGCCTCTGCTCTGTTCTGTCCTGGATGCATATTTATGCTGCAAAATCTGAGCTCTGAGGCCGTGAAACCTGACCTGACAGACTCAGGAAGGAGGTGGCAGGGACAGGGATGGGCAGGAGTTGCTGGGGCCTCATCCCACATCTGGCCAGGGATGCACATTCTAGAATCTGATTTAAATTTTTATTTTTTAATTTTTTGCTGGCTTGAGTTTTCAAAGAACAATTCTCAGATCTCTTGCTTTACTGGTCTCCTGGGCCCTGGGGTCGTGGGTCCAGAATCCCACTGCTCCCATAAACTTTTTTGGGCAGAGTAGGTTGGGGGAGGCTACTTGGAATTGCTATGCTCCCTCCCAGAAAGCCCCACATATGTTTGGAAGGAGGATAGCACCTTCAGACCACACTTCCTAGACAACATAAGCAGGCATAGGGGTCTGAACTTCACCTCTGGAATACGGCACGGTGCCTCTCTTTATGCAGCCAGAGACCAGTTGTGTTCTTCCCCAGGGTTCCCAAGGTTTCAAGCTGCAATCTGCTGCTTCTAGACTGTGTGAGCACTGGACAGGGAGTCAGGAGGCCTGTGTTCTAGATCCTGGGCTGCACTAAGTCCCTGGGTGACCTTGGGTTGTGACCTTTGCTGGGCTTCTGTCTCTCTGATGTGTTGATGTCAGTGGTCCCTTGTAGTGGGACCTGGGAACTCCAACTTAAGGTATGAGCAGGTAGGCAGGGCCTGGGGCTGTGATTGCCCTGGGTGGTGTGGACCAGGGAGAGCAGCTGTTCAGCTGCCCAGTAGCTCAAATTCCCTGACACTCACTGTCAACACTGTCTCCTGCAGCTCAGCCATGGATGGCTGCCCTTCCTGGAAACCTTAGGACACCACGGCTGGCTCTAGCTGCCCCCTCCCTGTGAGTCAGCTCCTTCAGGCCACAGCCTGCCAGTGGCTTCCAAGGCACCCAGGCTGCAGCTTCTGATCTGATGCCTCTTGGCTCCAGGACTTCCCAGGACCCCTCAGCTGCCCTGGCCCCTGCTGCTACTGCTGTCACCTCTGCACCTTGTCCCCAACTGGGCTACTGACTCACACATCGGGCTCCTCTGCTATCATTTCAACTCCCAGGCTCTGCTCACTCCAGGGGCCTAGTTGGAGAACTGATTTCCCCAGCTGAAGGACCCTTCAGCTATGCCAGTGGAGAAACTGAGGCAGCAGAGAGTCTGTGAGTGGCCGAAGGACACATGGTGAAACGGTAGCAAGCAGGCCCACCCCTGGGCTCACTCACGTGGAGTTCAGTGACCCTCTGTGTGATTCTCCCTGATCACCAGCTCCATCGGGCCCCACACATCTCAGCCACACACTGGCTCCTGGTGAGCCCCTAAGCAGTGACCCTGTGGCAAAGGCTGGAGCCTTGACAGAAGCCCAGTCTTCTTCTCTCTCCTTCCACTATCTGCCTGCTGCTGAGTTCTCCCATCAACTTGACACTCCCTCCTGGGCTGAGTCCTCCCAGCCACAGCACCAATGTCATTAGGTCAGCCCATCAGCCCTCAGTAGTCCTCCTCCTGCCTCCTCTGCCCTCTGGGTCCCCTTTGATGGCATCACCAGATGTCTGGCTCCACCCTGGGGAATCTGAGGCCCAGCCACCAGGGAAGGGGGAGGGGTTTGCCCCAGGCCACACCAGGAGTCTGGGTGGAGGAGCAGGATTGGGTACTCTCAGCCTTGCACTACCCAGCTGCCTTGCTTCCAGCACCCCCTGGGTCACTAGGGACAGGGAGATGTGGCTATCCCTTCCAGCTGTCTCATCCGGCTGCATCCCTCTTATCCTCCAACCTCGGTTGCTGCCACTCACCTCAGGTGGGGGTGGAGGGCTGGAGCCTGCACTGAAAGGCTGGGCTGGTGGGAGGTCCTGTCAGGAAGTAAGCCTGGTGGTGGGATGGCCACCTATATAGGCTTCTGGTCTGGCTATTTTTGGGAGGTGGCGCTCCCCGCAGCCCCTGGCCCCCTCCCCTTCCGGTGTCAGGTACTCCCCAACCATGGTACTGGGTGTCTGTATCACATTCAGCCTCCCTGGACCCATCAGGCCAGGCCTATTAATAACTCTTGGCCCCTGCTTCCCTCCAGCACCCAAAATTGAGGCCCAGGCAGGGCTTGCCTCTTCCATGAAGCCTCCTGTGACCACTGTAGATGGCAGCCATGTTTCCTTCCTCCAAATCCTGCCAGGAAAGGAAAAGAAACAGCAAGGAAAAGAATGAAACAAGAATTGTCCTCTGTGCATGGGGCTGGGTCCCATTCTTAGGCTTATATGATCTCTCACTCCAGTCTTGCCAGGTACACGTAGCCGCTCTCGCACGTAAGTGACCTGCTGCTCAAAGCCGTGGGCCTGGGGCTGGGAGCAGACTCAGCACTTCAGTGCGAGGATCTAGTGCCTGGTAGGAGGAGATGTTCTGCAGATTCTCAGCCAAGTGACTTCCTCTGTCTGTTTCAGTCTTTCCATCTGTAAAATGAGCTCAATCCAAGGTAAACTATGCTCTCTAGATGCGCTAGGGCAAGGGGAAAATGGACCCCCTGAAATTGTATGCAAAATGTCACATGCACATGACGTTTTGAGAACGAAGGCCCTAGCCGGGCATGGTGGCACATGCCTGTAATCTTAGCTACTCGGGAGGCTTAGGCAGGAAAATCTCTTGAGTCCAGGAAGCGGAGGTTGTGGTGAGCTGAGATCGTGCCATTGCACTCCAGCCTGGGCAACAAGAATGAAACTCTGTCTCAAAAACAAACAAACAAATAAAACATAATGAGGAGCAAAGGCCCAAGCCCTTTGTGATTTGCAAAGAGACCTCTGACGTTGTCTGTCTTGGATTGGAGATGACCGTCCAGGGATGTGTTTTGAGAAGCATGAACAGTCAAATAAATTCAACAAATATGTAGCAAATATCTAATCTGAACACCATGAAGTGTTCCTCTTCTCATCCCTAATCCGAAAATAATCTCCAGGGCACTGAGATTGTCAGTGGTGGGGTCTAGTTCTTGACAGTGACATGAGGAAGCCCAGGCTCCATGTGAAGGCTGTTTGGAAGCTCCATGGATACAAAGATCCCAGTTTGGGCTGCGTGGGGGAAGCTGGGGCTGGAGCCTCCTTGAGTGTGGTGCTGGGGCCTGGGTGAGGTTGGTGGTGGTGGTAACAGGGAGGAGCGTGCAGATGGGGGGGGGCATCTCTAGGGGAGCATCTTCCAGACTTGGGGCAGTGGCATGAATAAGAGGGACAAATACAAGTGGACCCTAAATTTTCAAGCTGGGGTTTGCTGAAGAAGGAAGGTGTTGATTTTGAAGGCGGGGAGTCTAGGGAGGAGACGATGCTCGTTTGGGGGGATGATACAGTGAGTGGTGTTGAATCCTAGGATGTCAGGGCTGGGAGAGCCTCCGTGGTGATCGGCTACAACCTGCTGCAAACCACATCATGTTATACATGAAGAAACCGACGCCGAGTTGACCGACCCAAATCCCCCAGAGAGTAGTGGAGGAGCCAAGAGTGGCTGCCGGGTTTAGGGGGGCTGGGGAACACCCTGGCGGAGATGTGTCTGAACTCTGGAGTGAGGTCAGGGCTGGACACAGGGGACTTTGGTGGTCATCAGAGAGGTCAAGGAACTGAAGTTGTGGGCATGGCTGAGCTCAGGGAGTAGGGATGCAGCAGAGCCTTGAGGAGGAACCCTTGAGGAGGATCCGTGGCTGGGGCCTAGAATATAATCACACTTCTTTGTGGAACACTGTGCTGGGTGCTGCGTGCATAGCATCATACTTTGATTCTTGTATGTGGGAAGTAAAGCAGTTCCTCTCTAAAGTTTCCTTTCTTGTTAAAGAATAAATCATAAGTGTGCTGGTAATTCTTTGTGAAGCGCTATCCTATGTAGCTGATAGACAGGCCACGCTTACAGGCACGTAGTCCATTCTATGTCCTTGTACTTTAACCAAGATATCTGTGCTGGATGTGCTCACAGGCATGTCCCAGCTCTCCATGGCCTTTACCTGTTTAGAAAAGTTTTAAGTTGCTAGCCAGTCGGGTTTTAGTTTAGATTGCGAGGTCTGGCTCCAACCAACGGAGATCAGACGTAGCAGTAAGGACCACTCCAAATGCGTAAGGAATACATTTGTGTGTTTTCCTTTGTTCATTGTACTCTCGTCGCAAGATGGCTAGCGGGAGTACCCTTCCTGCAGCCCAGGAAGTGAAAATTGCGCTGCTGAAAGATCCTTTGTCTCAGTGCCGATTTTCTTTGTGGCACCGAGCATCTATTTCTAACATTGTATCCCCTTAAGAAGTAGGCAAAACCTTCTTCATTTTACTGATGATGAAAGAACAAGGCTCAGAGATTGGGCAGCTTGTCTAAGGTCACAGAACGGAGGTAGGATTTCAGCTCAGGTTCTCTGACTCCAAAGCAATTGCTCCTTTCTACCACACTATTCTGCTTCTAGGATGAGACCAGAAGACCGGGGCAGCACCTACCACGGGTGAATTCTTGGGAGCCCAGATGGCCTTCCTCTTTGTCCCCATAGGTCTTCTTCATGTAGCTCTAATTGAGCAAATCTAGATGGGCTGAACCATATCATGTGTGTATGTGTGTGTGTGTTGCGGGGGTGGATTTATTGAGCACCTACTGTGTACCTAGTGCCTTATGTACTTTGTCTCAGAAGTTTGAAGAAATGGTGTCTCAGAGAGGTTTAGTGACTAACCTAAACCTAAGGCCACACAGACAGGAGGTAAATGAGAGAGCTGGGATTTAAACTGAGCACTTTCTGATTCTGAAGCATCTTTCCCCCTACAATACTTACAGCAGGGTAAAGATGTCCTAAAGCCTGAGTCGAGTATCTGGAAATGTGACCCAGTTTCTTTTGCTCTGGATCTGTGTTAATGGAAGCAGCCTTCATTTTATTAACTTGGTTAATTTTACAAGGGCCTTGACATCAGAATATGGGTTTATCAGTCAGGTCTGCTTTGCCTGTAAGTGATGAGAGAGTCTGACTCGGGCCAGCTTAAGACAGCAGGTGATTTGTTAACTCATGCAACTAAAAAGTCCAGGAAGGTTCAAGCATGGTTTGAGCCAGAACCCAGATGCCCTTCAGGAAGATGCTGTTTCTCTTACTTCTCAGCTGTACCTTGTGCCACGCTCTCAAACTGGTTGACCCCTGAGGGTGGCAAGATGGCTGTCCCTGCAATGCTACAAATTTTCAGGTCCAAGTCCTTTGAGGGAAAGGGAGTCTACTGCCCCAGAGCTTGCACAGAAGTTCCAGAGCTACACAAAAATTAGCTGGGCATGGTGTGTGCCAGCAGTCCCAGTTACTCGGGAGGCTGAGGCAAGAGACTCACTTGAACCCGGGAGGCAGAGGTTGCAGTGAGCCAAGATTGCTCCACTGCACTCCAGCCTGGTGACAGAGCGAGACTCTGTCTCAAAAAAAAGAAAAAGTCCCGGAGCTGCACCCCATTGGTCGTGATAGTTGTGATGAGCTCAGCTTGGCCCACATCATCCCTGAACTGTCACTGTTGATTACAAAATGCACACAGGCCTGGGGCATGAGATACCCTTCGAGCTTGGAGGGGGCAGAATGTCAACCCCATTGGAATGGCCTGGAGAAGGGGACTGTCCCTGGACAGAGAAGTGAGGGGTTCTGAGCTGTCAAAGCCCATGAAGTGGTTGTTGAGGTGAGTCCCTGGAGGCTGGGGCTGCCCAAGTGTGCCAGGCGCAGGGGAAGTTCGTGCTCTAGTCCTTGGTGAGAGTAATGCCAGTTTCCCTGCATCAAACTTCTAGAGCATGACTCACTTTGGGGCTCAAAGTTGCCTTCGGATACTTACGACCCCCGCACCAGGTCCATCCTGCTCTGTATGAGACCTCGCAGGCTCCCACCTGCCTAGGACCTCTGCTTGAAGGCAGCAGCAGTGCTGGGTGGAATTTTCCTCTAGCTTCAGGGTTTCTTAACTGTGAGCAGGGAGGAGGCCCATGAGTAGCTGGGCAGATGCCACCATCTCACACTGACACCCCTTTCTACCCCCTAAAATGAGGTGTGGTCTTTAGCTGAGCACAACCACATACTTACAGTAACATTTATGTTACCTGAGTCAATCCCATTTTCTTTTTTATACAAATGAAAACTTTTCTTTTCTTTCTTCTGAGATGGAGTCTCACTGTGTTGCCCAGGCTGGAGTGTAGTGGCACAATCTCTGCTCACTGCAACCTCCACCTCCCAGGTTCAAGCAATTGTCCTGCCCCAGCCTCCCAAGTAGCTGGGATTACGGGCACGTACCATCATGCCCAGCAAATTTTTTTGTATTTTTAGTAGAGAGGTTTCACCATGCTGGCCAAGCTGGTCTTGAACTCCTGATCTCGTGATCCGCCCGCCTCGGGTTCCCAAAGTGCTGGGTTTACAGGCATGAGCCACTGCACCCAGCTTACAGATGAAAGCTTTTTACAGATAAACCAAGCTGAGGTTCAGAGAAATCAAGTCACTTGCCCAAGGTCACGCAGCTCACCAGGACCAGAGCCTGGTCTGTCTGCCTCCACTCATGCCCAGTGCTCTCCCCGAAGTCCGCTCTGGCCTCCCAGCTGGTGGAGGGGAGGAGGGCAATGTGTGTGGGCCAGCAATCTCTTAGCTGCCACCTACCAGAAGGCAAGCATTCAGCTGTGATATTTCATTAGTTCACACTATTTCCACCTGCTGTGGCTGGGAACAGGATACAGAGTTTCTCACGTCCAGGGCTCCGGCAGGCTGGGTGGATATCGCAGGATCTAATGATATCTATGAGATCAGCCCTGTGGGATGATATGTATTAACTCGAAGGAATCCCGGTGGCATTCCTGAGAGCCAGTTCTCGAGCCTGTGGCCTTGTTTCCCCTTCCTCCCTTTACCCACGCTTAAGCACGATTCCCCCTCCTCCCCCTCCCCCGGAGACAGTGGCCATGGG